TCCATGTAATTTTATGTTTTCTATAATGACAATAAAGATGATGACGATGACGATGATGATGATGATGATGATGATGATGATTATCATTAAGGTGTTGATAACCACAAAAGTATGTATTTAAAGATTGGAGGAGCCAAAGACATAAGAAGTCTACTTTGCAAAGAGCAGAGCCAACATTTATCATTAGTTAATTCCCTTAACAGAGGAATTTATCTTTACAAGGTACAGAGTTTAGTTGGAATGTTAAAGGATTTAATCTGGTTTTCTCTTTAGAATATGTATTCATAACAGGCTATTTGTGTGTTTGGTCTGTTGGGATAATACATGCACAAAGGTAAAACATCATTTAAATACAAACAAGCAAACAGAAAAGCTCTAGATGTGAAAATCCAGTAGTTTGAACAACACTGCCCTCTAATGGTAAAACACAAAAATGCACTCTCAAGAAATGTGAAAACCGAACAGAAAAGAAAAACCGTGAAGATTAAAAAAAATCAGAAATTGGCAAAATACGTAATTACCAAGCAGGGGCGGAGCTTAAGGGGGGCTTTAGTGGCTTCTCACTACTAAAACATAAGTATTAAAATAAGCAAAAAAAAAAGGGCAGAACAGAACATTTCACTTCATTCATTTTATTGCACTTTTAAGGAATTCAACATCCACTTTCATTATATCTTTAAATTACATATACTTTTACTAAACATGATGTAAATATCAAAAAAGTTTTCCTTGTTCTGTTGAAACAGGTTTATTTAAGCACATTACTGCCATGCATTCCAAACATACCATGTCTGTAGGTAATATTGGTCTGGTACAACACATTAAAAGGAAGAGCTAGAATACTGTGGAGAACCCTCAACCTCTTTATGCACATATAAACTAATGTATGTAGTCATTTGTAATTCTCAAAGCCTGTGTACAGAGAACCAGAAGAACTGATTCCTACTGAGAGAGAGACGACTCTCAGCTTTTCTATCCTTTTCAGTCTTACTATAAGCTGCACATCAAGGTGGAAAAACATAGAGGAATATGATCTTTACCATTATCTTAGCCTAAAAAAGGTGCTAGCAACTCAAATATTTGAAAATTAGAAAAGAAAAAAAACATGCATATGTAATGTTTTGCCTTTTCTTACCTGCAGATGAACTATGGCTGAACATGAGAAGTATCACCAACCTCTTCATCTTGTTTAGAAAGCTAAAGTGAAAATGGAGTTTTAAGGGGAAGTTTCAGTTGTTGAACCTATTATTTAAATCTAAAAAGGCTTAACTACCCGCCCAACTGTTCCTGGGCGGGATTAATGTGAGTCCATTCTTGACTGAAGTCTGTTGTCAGTTTCATTTAATAATTCATAACAACTTAAATCCATCCATTCATTTTCTGTACATCCTTGTCCCTAGTGGGGTCAGACTGGTGCCTATTTCCAGCTAACGTTTTGGGCGAGAGGCGGGGACCCTGGACAGGTCGCCAGTCTGTCGCAGGGCAACACAGAGACAGACAGGACAAACAGACATATGTACACACTCACACAAACACACACTCACACCTAAGGAGAATTTTCATAGTTGATTGAAAAAAATTCAAAAGATAAAATAAAAATTTTATCTTTTGATGAGATAAAATGGTGATTTTATCTCATCAAAGAACATTACATGGTGTGAGGATGGATCAGGAGGAAACAGTTTGTCAGTAGGTCACCAGTTTGAATCCCTGCTCTGCTTGTCTCATTTTTAAACACAATTAAACTCCTTTTTGTATAAAAAATACTTTAAATTGGAATGGATTTATTCATAACCAAGATATTCATGAATCCTTCACCGAAGAATTTTGACAACCTTGTAAGTTTTACTAAAGGTTGTTTACCATAGTTCAATTTTAAAAGCAAAACAGAAGTAATAAAAGCAGAAGTTAAAACAATCCTTCATTCATCTTGAAAAGTGAACTAAGTAATTGTCTATTATATGCTTTTGATATGTGACCAAATCTTCTTCTCTTTTGGATTTTCCCTTCAGTGTTTGTCCTGTTCTCTGTTAACCATTACAACATCTAACTTCATGTCCTTTTTCAAGACACCAAGATACCTAAACTCCACCTGAGACACTGAACCTGAAGAGAGTATCCTACCTATTTCCACAACGTCCTGGCCACATTATGGCTTATTCATACTTGACTCTGAATCATTCAATTCTCTCTAAAGGTCATGACTCCAAAGCACATGTGTCAAACTCCAGGCCCGGGGGCCAAATCCGGCCCGCCGTAGCTTTTTATATGGCCCTCCACAGACTAAACTAAACACTAAGTGTGATTAAATATTATATTATCAATCATATCAATGCAGTTTTTATCTGTTTACTGCCAATTTATATCAATAAATCCCTCCAGTTTCTTGAGAATTTACTTGATGTATGATTATATTCCATGATTTATACAGCGAGTAAATAAGCAGTCGCATTTATTATTAGTGCCTGAAGGGACTGAAAAGATGTTCAAAAATATTATGTAATTTTAAGATTCATTGACATATTAATAGTTTGGGAACAGGTTTTATCAACATGTTCTGGCATATCAGGCCCTTTAAGAGCCTTCATGATCTTGATTTGGCCCAAAAGGAAAATGAGTTTGACACACCTGGTCTAAAGGCTCCATTCCCTCCTATACATAGCATTGCACACAGACGCTGCTTAGCCAGCGCAATTCAGATCCTCGCTGAGTCCACCCATCCTCTCTATGATCTGTTCATCCGGTTTGCATCTGGGAGGAGATTCAGTAGCATCTGCTGTAGAACAGCCGGACTCAGAAATAGCTTCTTCCAACTGGTCATCCAACTGCTCAACAACCATATCACCAAGAGGAACTGCTTGGAACTGTCTGAGACTTCTTGAAAAATACTATGTATTATACAAATAGCAAAACATTATTATTTGTTTATTATGTAATTACAGGCAGACTTGTTTTATTGTGTGTTCTCCGGTGGCCAAGTGATAACATTTCATTGCCAATTTCATGTTTCTTTGTGCAATGACAATAAAATAAATCTAAGTCTATCTAGAAACCCTGAAAGTGAAATGAAAATTAGCACCAGTGATTGTGAACACAAAAATGTTTCTGAACATTTTTTTGAATTAAAGTCCAAACTTGAATCTGGTGCTTTTAAATTGATGTATTATCTGCTTAAAAAGAGAAAACATAACAAAAATCCTCAATGACAGCAGAAAATGAAAGCAGTCATGATTGAACCATATCAGACCAAAAGAGAAACAAAACACTGACTTACACTTTTTATTGTTTTTGAACCTTTCTTAAAACTCTCATGATTCATTTTTAAATTTGTATTATTTTTCACCAGAAAGATCTGGTCACACAACCGTAACTGACGTCAGGGATTGCACAATTTGACAAAATAAATACACCGTTCTTGAATCATTCCAAAAAAAATCTAATAATAAAAAATAAAAATTTGCAAATCTTCATCGTCTCATCCCAACTCTCTGAGAGCCATCTCAGACTGTCCACATTAATAACATTCAGAAATAAATAAATAAATAGAAACACATCAGATCAGTTTTTGTCTGAATGTATTTGATGCATTAATGCTTATTTTTTTTTCTCTGTTCATCAATATGCAGGAAGAGAATGGCAACATTTCTCAGAGCCACATGCAGTCCTGGTTTTATTGATAGAGGCTTCATATTGTTGTGTTGTAAAAAACATAGAAAAAGTGTAAAGGCATCACCAAGTGAAGTTTGGTGATGACTTGCACTCAGCATAAGCTTATAGAGTAACAATCTTAGGGCACATTTTCAAGTGTTTCTGAATTGATAAAAGTGAAATGAGTGATTTCATGAACTAAAAACTGTGACATACAGCATTCAGAACTGAAATAAGTTGTAGGCATTTAGTTGGGTGATAAAATAATGTAGTGGCTTCCATAAAGTCTTACTAGAAATAGTTTCTTCTTTTTTTGGCGAGAACTGAAACATCTTCAAACAAGAAGTCCATTTTTTTCTTCTTAAGCTACAGAGTGAGTAAAGGTTAGTAGTTAAGATGATTTTGAGTTGCAACTCTGATCTCATTTTCAAAACATCTATGGTTTATATTCAAACCATGTTAGTAATTATTAAATTCACTTCTAGTAGTTTTCCTAAAAGTGAATTGAAAGACTTGAACTGATATGGAAAAGCCTTCCTAGCAATATTGAATAGAATATCTAAATGGAATAGAGGAAGATCTAATATTAAACTTTTTAAGGCTCTGTTTGAATAAAACTTTCATTCTTTACTTGTACTGAAGCTTAGTCAAAATTAAGTCTTGTTCTGTTTGAATTATTGAGTTTTAGAGAGATATTAACTTTTCATATATGTTCATGTCTTCTAAACATAAACCAAATAAAAACAAGTCAGGCAAGGTACTTTTTCAGAAGAAAATATACTATTAATAGAAACAAGATGAGCATAAATTGTTTCCTTGTTACTTAATCTTGAATCAACAATTACTTGTATTGCAAGTGTTGGTACTTCCTGGTGTTTGTTGTCACAGGATACACAGAAAATCTCCCTAAAGTTGGTGCATTTATTGCTCAGTGATTAAAGCAAATGTGTAAAAGTATATTGCCATATGATGAAATTCTAACATTTCGGTATTAATGTGGTTATACATTCATTATTGTTTCATTTCTTAGAGTAGTTTTTTTTTTTTTTTTTTTTAAGAAAAACCCACCAGGAAGTTATTTAATTTTAGTTTAATCACTGTGGGATTAGTCATTTCAGATTTAGAGCATTTTAACAAATATGTTAAAAGCTAAAACTGATTCAGATTTAACACACTGTATAAGAAGTTTTACATTAGCAGAATAGACCAATTCTGTCATAAATGCTGTAAGAACTAAAAAGGAACAAAAATATCCCATTGGCTGTTTGTCAAACTTGAACACACCTCCACCTCCATCTTGTGATGATAAGAAGAAAAGCTGGAAATGATTTCTAACATTCCAACTAAAGGACTCTTCTGCTCAGTTTCTCAATTTCACACCAACTGTACAAAAATGATAAAGGTGATAACTTTGTTGCTGCTTTTACAGAATGCTGCATCTGGAGGTAAGAACATTTCAATAATTCAACAGCTGAAGCAATTTTTGATAATTTTTAATTTTCTATAATCAAAAGTGAAACAGAGCTGCTTCTGTTCAAAGGTAAAGATGTCAGTTATTTTCTCAACAGTGAAATAACTGTGAAAGTTAGACTTATAAGCTTTCATCAATATAAAGAGAATATGTATTTTTGAACTTTTTATGTTTCACATGCAAATTCAATTTTACAGTTTATAATGTAAATACAAAAATTTCAAAAAATTGCAATCCATACTCTAAATGAATTTTTTTTTTCTTCTGACAGAAAAATATTACCTGGAGTCTAATCGTTTCCTGCGTCCAGGAGTTCCCAATTTCCCAGAGTATGCAGTAATGATTGTACTTCAGGGTTTTTTAGCAACTTACTATGATGAAAATGTAATGCATGTCAAACAAGACTGGATGAAAGAGTATGTAAAAGAGAACACAAAGGAGTGGGAATCCTCTGTCCAGGCATGCTTGGCATACAAAGATTTACTCAGAGATCAGACTAAGAATTTTAATACACAGTCAAACCAGTCAGAAGGTATGTTATAACTAAAATTATTTTATTTATTTATTTTACCCATTTATACCAATCATAATTTGAATTTAGATCAGGCAAATTTTTGCTTCAGAAACTACATATCTTAAAAACACACAAAAAATGACATTCTGATTATCAGGTAGAATTTGTGATATTTAAAACATGGTATGTTTTCTGTTTTCCTCAGGCAAGGAAATAATTCAGCAAATTTTTGGCTGTGACTGGGATGAAGAAACTAATAATACTTTTGGTTATATAAAGTTTGGTAACAACGGAGAAGACTTTATGACATTAGACACAAAGACATGGACTTGGATTGCAGCAAATCCAAAGGCAGAGGTCATAGCAGAGGAGTGGAATGCAAACAAAGCCTTTTATGAGATTGCAAAGTACTCACTCCAAAACAAGTGCCTGCCATTGTTAAAAGTATTTCTGAGATATGGAAAATCTTTTCTGAGCAGAAAAGGTAAAATCAATTGGCCTTTTATATATACAGTTTCTTTTAATTTTATCTTGGTCGACTAACCACCTCTTTCAATCTATTTTATGCATTTTGGTCTATCAGACATTTCTTCAGTATAATGAGAAAATCACAAGGACAGATGCCTTAATAATCATGCAAAATGACCTAATAGTGGCAATATCTCTCTAGTTCTTCCCTCAGTGTTTCTGCTCCAGAAGTCTCCCTCCTCTCCAGTCACTTGTCATGCAACGGGTTTCTTCCCTAACAAAGCCATGATGTTCTGGAGGAAAGATGGAGAGGAGATTCATGAAGGGGTAGAACATGGAGACCTTCTTCCCAATGATGATGGATCCTTTCAGATGAGTGTCCACCTGGAGGTTCTGGCAATCCCACCTGAAGACTGGGGGAGATACGAATGCGCATTTGAACTCTCTGGTATGAAAAATGATGTCATTACCAAACTGGACCAAGATTCAATCAGAAGCAACAATCCCAAAACTGAAGGTAATAAAAATACTTGATTTGAAAAGCACTAAAAGTAACAGTAGATTAAAGTAATGACTAAAACTACATAGCAATATACTAAGTAGTTATTTTGGTAATTTTATTTCTTTGCCATTTGATACATGAGGGTGTATCTTCCCATTAGTTAAAAATAACTGATAAATTATTTTAAGATAGGAAATTAGTTCACAATTTAGTGTAATTTGTCATTTTCTATTTGAGTTTAAATAGGCCATTATAGATGATGCTCAACCTTACTAATACACAGTTTTCTTTCTAAGATTAAAGCTGTACATGTTTCTGTTTTCTGAACAGGTCTATTTATGACAATCAGCATCGCTGTCATTGCTACGATGGGATGTGTTATTGTCATCATCATTGTTGCTTTATCATTCACAGCTTTCAAGAAAAGAAATGGTAAGGCACTAAAGAATTGATATTATTCATAAAAGCGAATTAGAAAGTTACACTGTACAATGACATCAGACATTCCTTGAATATAATGAGAAAAAATCACAAGGAGAGTAGAATATCTTGGTAAATCTAACAGTTATTTACATAATCAAATGACATATTTACAAAAAAATATTTTACATGTAACATTATCTAAATGATCATTCTTCCATTATTTAGTGACAAACATTAGTGACACAGACAGATCTTCTACACCATGTAAGTACTTTCTGACCTTTACTATCTTATATTCACTAAGTTTTGTTCAGAATGAACAGATTAATGAAATATTTTGTATCTTACAGCCTCTGAAACAGCCTCTCTTTAAGAAAGTGATACATAATGCACTTCACCACGAGGAATGCTGGACTTGTATGACACAAGTCCAAATGTTCTGTTAACGGCACATAAAATCTACAGGAAATTCCAGGATCCTGTTAAATGAAGATTACTGTCAATAATTTGAAGTAGGGGTCCCCAAAATCGGTCCTCAAGGGCCGGCAACCTGCGTGTTTTAGTTTTTTCCTTGGTGGTAGTGACAACCTTTTCATCATATCAGTTTTCTTCTCAGGCCTCTAACAAGCCATCATTTGGTCCAGGTGCGTTAAATCAGGGAGAACTAAAACATTCAGGATGCCCGCCCTCGAGGACTGACTTTGGGGACTCCTGTAAGGAGCAGACTTAACATACTAAATGGTGTGTTTTTTTTTATTTTATCATGTCTGAAAGTTTTGAATAGCTCTATGTATGTTTACTCACATTTTACAACTATATTGCACAATAATATTTTAAAATTATGCATCTGCCTTTCATAAAGCAAACAAAAGCATACATCATATAGGCTAATGAACGTCTGTATTTTTCTCTATCAAATAATATCAGAGGCTATCTTTGTAGAAGGTTCTACCAACAAATGACAGAGAAAAACCTTCTTAGGTTTTATCTAAAAAAACAGAAAGAAAGAAATAGTTCACTGAAACTAGAGATAAGGTTCTGGTTTCTGTTTTAGTGAAGAAATGCAAATAAAATCAAGTCTGAGCCTGAACAACATTCTAGACTGTAAAGCAAACAGAAATTTATATTTAAGCACTTTGCTGAAAATAAGCCAGCTGAATAACTACATGCCTTGTTATTAACATTTTACCCTATTTTTTATTCTCCTCTGAAGTCGTGCTCCAACCTATAAAAGGTCAATGTTAAATCATCACATAAAGAAAAAGAAATCTAAAAACACTGCCTCTTTTTTTCATATCTTATTTTGATGTTGACTATCAAAGTTATTTAACCAAATCATTTTGTCTAAAATTTTGAAAGAGATAAATATTTAACCAGTGTCATCAGGTAAGATTGTTAACCAGTGATTGCTTTTATGTGACTGTCTTTTTTGTCTAAGAAACTATAAATACATTTGTTGGTTTTTGTATAAATGGATGCTTTTTTTTTTTTTTTAATAAAGCATAACTGAAGTATGTGCATGTGTGAATTTGTTTTTGGTAGCAAGCTTTTTAAAACGTCATTAAATTTAGAAACATGACCAAAATTACTAGAGCACATGAATATACATTTCTAGTAAATGTATTTTTTGCTTATAAATGTGTTTCAGCTTCTTAGTGAGCTCAAGCCACACAGGAGCTAAAAGAAGATCAATAGTAACAGCAGCAATACGGGTAAATCAGTGGAAGGATTGATGCACTTCACAAAATGCTCCTCTGTTCGTCTGTTTCTTTATCAGATCCTCTGTTGCTGCTGTCACCAGTTGGTCCCTGACTCCCAAGCTCTCATTACAATCCTTCACATCCCTAACAAACAAAAACAGCTCACCCAGCCAACATTGATTAAGATGAGATGAACAGATATTGTAGTTCACAAGATTTATTTCTAAATACAAATTTTATACTTCATAGCTGCAAGTGACATGGCATAAATCTCATTACATTTATATAGACTTGTTTTTCAACTCCACCTTCAGCTGACAGAAATGATGAAAATGACTAAAATGCTGCAAAGCATGACACAAACAATTCAGGGGTTTTACGTTAGTTACATCTGGTACAGATAAAAATGCAGATTTTTTTCCAAACACGAAATGTTGACGTAGTTCACTGTGTCAACATTTGCATTATATGTTGCATGACTTTGTGTTCTTGTGTTTATGATGTAAAGCACTTTGAAATGCCTTGCTGAAATGTGCTATACAAATAAAATTTAATTTGATTTGATTTGATTTGCATAAATGTATGCAAGGGTTCACTCAAGGTCAGTATTTAACCATAACTTCCTCATTTCATCAACACAGAGCAGGAACGATCGCTAAGGTGATAAACCGGCTGATGAGCCTGAACACTGCAAAACATTTGAGGCAAATTTAGTTGTGTCTATTATCTTCTACTCTTTAAGTAAAATATGTTTATCAGATCAAAGTTTTAGATTTTGAACCTAAATGTGAGTTTGTGAAAAGATTAACTTACTGTAGTAAGTTGTGTTAACTTTTTTATTAATTTTGTCAAAACTACAAGAACTGAGAAAATTGGAGTTTTCAGGTTAAAAAAACAGAAAGAAGAAAAAGACAAGAGAGGGAACAATGTGTGCTTAGCGGCATGTTTTTGTATCCTGAGATGGAAGTACATCACATTGATCTGACTCTTGTTTGTTATTAAGGCAAATGTTTATTTTAATGCAGCTGACAGTTTGCAAAGCTTGAGGATAAAGTTCTGTTCACACTAAATGTGTATTGTGAAAATTACTAGGTTAGGATAAAATTACAACATGAAGTTAAAACACAATTTGCCATTAATAAACTTAAAAAACAATGTTTAGACAACTTGTTTCTTGTTGTATTAACTTCATAAATTTTAATTTCTGAGTTAAAACCAATACAATTTTCTTGTTGACTTTGCATTTTCAAGGCAGCAGGTTGACTTTCATTTGCTAGTTTATCCACCTTCAGATATTTTACAGAAAAGTGGGGCGCTCTGTCGGTGCTTGGTGGTGAGAGGCCGTCTTTCAAGAAAGCAGCTGTTTTTTTTTTTGTGTGGAAGCCATAAAAACAGGACCGGATCATCCGAAATGACGTTCTGGATTCTCATCAGTTTAGGCAGAAACCAGGTTTCATTACTTTTCTTTCTGGCTGCTACAGATTTTCTATTTTATAAAGCAAGGAATTTCAAAAGAACATTCTTTTCCTTTTAGATGAACAGTTCCTGAGGAAAAGTAAAGGATTTCAGTCCTAAACATCACCACTTATCATTTCTGTGACATGAAGATGTTATTTTTTCTTCTATTATGTGGCGCTTCATCACCAGGTAAACTTTTGCTTTTCCCTATTTGAAAGTGCTGTCTATTTTTATTCCTTGAAGTTTATTTTGACTTTCATAATTTGCTCCATTCAAAAACCTGCTGAAGTCAAACATGTCTGCATCGTTCTGAACATTTAAACCTCTCTTCTAGAAAAACACTCACTGACAGTTCTGGTTACTGCCTCTTCTGGACTCCCTCATTTCCCAGACTTCATAACCACCACCCAGGTGGATAAGCTGCCAACAAGTTACTGTGACAGCAACAAAAATATCAGAGCAAACCCAAAATATGGACCAAAATTAATGAACATTGAGTCACAGATTGCTGATTGGTATATTGAACAGTGTTTTGAAATAATGTCTGATTATCTCAAGGTTAAGATGGGAATTTTAAAGGACCTGAACCAAAGTGAAGGTACAGTGAAGAGACTCATATTTATAATTGAGCTGCAATAACTTACCATTAATAAATTTGATTCATAATCTCAGTTTCTGTTTTCTCCTCCAGCTGTTCACATCTTACAGGTTATTATTGGCTGTGAATGGGAGGCAAAGACAAAAGAAACAGTCTCGTTTTTACAGTTTGGATATAATGGAGCAGACTTTATCTAAGAAAAAGCTAAAAAAAAGTCTCAAATTCAGCATGAAGGCAAATAAGGCATACAAGTCAAAATCAGTTGTAATTAAACATAGAGACAGAAAATTTTATTTGAAAGCTGGTTTGTTGAAATGAACAAATAAGGGGAAATAAATGTGGTAGTAATCAAGAACAATATCCTACTTAATCTAATTTAAAAATGTGATGTATCTACTCTAATAGTCTGTAGGAATAATATAAAACAAAATAATTCTACAAACTACATATAAACCCATATAAACAAATTGTGAGAACATATATGTGAGAATATACGGGACTCAAAGAGTAAATTCAGACGTTATGGGGAACAAAAGTTTCTCATCTGATATAGAGGAAGTGACTACTGCTGAGTACAGGAATGACCTCTGACCTTTGTACATCACAATTAAAGGAAGAGCTAGAATACTGTGGAGAACCCTCAACCTCTTTATGCACATATAAACTAATGTATGTAGTCATTTGTAATCCTCAAACCTGTGTACAGAGAACCAGAAGAACCGTTTCCTACTGAGTGAGAGACGACTTTCAGCTTTTCTTTCCTTTTCAGTCTTACTATAAGCTGCACAGCAAGGTGGGAAAACATAGAGGAATATGATCTTTACCATTACCATAGCCTGAAAAAGGTGCTAGCAACTCAAATATTTGAAAATTAGAAAAGAGAAAAAACATGCATATGCAATGTTTTGTCTTTTCTTACCTGCAGATGAACTATGGCTGAACATGAGAAGTATCACCAACCTCTTCATCTTGTTTAGAAAGCTAAAGTGAAAATGAGTTTTAAGGGGAAGTTTCAGTTGTTGAACTTATTATTTAAGTTTTAAAAAAGCTTTACCTGCCCAACTGTTCCCGGGCGGGATTAATGTGAGTCCATTCTTGACTGAAGTCTGTTGTCAGTTTCATTTAATAATTCATAACAACTTAAATCCATCCATTCATTTTCTGTACATCCTTGTCCCTAGTGGGGTCAGACTGGTGCCTATTTCCAGCTAACGTTTTGGGCGAGAGGCGGGGACCCTGGACAGGTCGCCAGTCTGTCGCAGGGCAGCACAGAGACAGACAGGACAAACAGACATATGTACACTCACACAAACACACACTCACACCTAAGGAGAATTTTCATAGTTGATTGAAAAAAATTCAAAAGATAAAATAAAAATTTTATCTTTTGATGAGATAAAATGGTGATTTTATCTCATGAGATAAAATGGTGATTTTATCTCATCAAAGAACATTACATGGAGTGAGGATGGATCAGGAGGAAACAGTTTGTCAGTAGGTCACCAGTTTGAATCCCTGCTCTGCTTGTCTCATTTTAAACACAATTAAACTCCTTTTTGTATGAAAAACACTTTAAATTAGAACAGATTTATTCATAACCAATACATTCACTGAAGAATTTTGACAACCTTGTAAGTTTTACTAAAGGTTGTTTACCATAGTTCAATTTTAAAAGCAAAACAGAAGTAATAAAAGCAGAAGTTAAAACAATCCTTAATTCATCTTGAAAAGTGAGCTAAGTAATTGTCTGTTACATGCTTTTGATATGTGACCAAATCTTCTTCTCTTTTGGATTTTCCCTTCAGTGTTTGTCCTGTTCTCTGTTAACCATTACAACATCTAACTTCATGTCCTTTTTCAAGACACCGAGATACTTAAACCACCTGAGACACTGAACCTGAAGAGAGTATCCTACCTATTTCCACAACATCCTCGCCACATTATGGCTTATTCATACTTGACTCTGAATCATTCAATTCTCTCTAAAGGTCATGACTCCAAAGCACATGTGTCAAACTCAAGGCCCGGGGGCCAAATCCGGCCCGCCGTAGCTTTTTATATGGCCCTCCACAGACTAAACTAAACACTAAGTGTGATTAAATATTATATTATCAATCATATCAATGCAGTTTTTATCTGTTTACTGCCAATTTATATCAATCAATCCCTCCAGTTTCTTGAGAATTTACTTGATGTATGATTATAGTCCATGATTTATACAGCGAGTAAATAAGCAGTCGCATTTATTATTAGTGCCTGAAGGGACTGAAAAGATGTTCAAAAATATTATGTAATTTTAAGATTCATTGACATATTAATAGTTTGGGAACAGGTTTTATCAATGTTCTGGCATATCAGGCCCTTTAAGAGCCTTCATGATCTTGATTTGGCCCAAAACGAAAATGAATTTGACACACCTGGTCTAAAGGCTCCATTC